AGCTGGGATTCAGACCCAGTACTCTTAACCATCAAGCTGTAGTGCCTACCTGTAGTTCATGTCATTAAAATTTTTGTATCAAGAAATAGCACAATTATTTTATGACTACTTTATGTGAACTCAAAAGCAACTACAATAACAGCTTTATGTGATACTGATACATTCATATTAGAAAAATGTGTTATGCATTGAAATGATCAAATATATCCTTTGAAATATGTGTGAGTGGGAGAAAGAATAAAAAGTAACTATTCTCTTAAAGGAGCCCTAGGGGTGAAGTGGTTAAGAGCTACAGCTGCTAACCAAAAGGTCGGAAGTTCAAATCTACTAGTTGCTCCTTGGAAACCCTATGGGGCAGTTCTACTCTGTCCTGTAGGGTAAGCTTGAAGACAATGGGTTTAGTTTTTGTACTCTCTTAAAGGTTCAGGGTTTAGCCCTAATTCACAATTCAAAAAAGAAACCAAAAAATCACATACCACCCAATTGGAAAAGATTAAACAATTTGACGGTACCAAATGTTGGAGGAGATTTGGAGTAATGGGAATTTGGAGTAATGGTGGGAGTGTCATTGGTCTATCACTTTGGAAACGTGTTCACCATGACATAGTAAAATTGAAGGTGCATACTTGTTGATTCTCCAATTTCACTCCTAGGTGTATTCCTTAGAGCAGCACTGTGCAGTAGAACTTTCTGCAGTGATGGAAATGTTCTATACCTGTACAGGGGCTATTGAGCACTTAAAATGTAGCTACTACGACTAAGGAAATGAGTTTTAATTTTATTTAATCTTAATTTATTTAGACTTAAATAGGCACACATGGCAGTGACTACCGAATTGGGACAGCACAACCCTAGTTAAATTCACGCACATGTGCACCAAGACATAAATACAAGATTGTTCATGGTACCATTGTTTTTAATAACAAAAAATAGGAAACAACCCAAATATCCATCTTATGTAGAATGGATAAATAAATTATGGTCTATTCATGTAATGTATTGGTACAACAGCAATTAATATACGTCATGTAGTATATTAGTAGGAGGCCTGGTGGCACAGTGGTTAAGTGCCCAGCTGCTAACCTAAAGATTAGTGGTTCAAACCCACCAGCCACTCCGTGGGAGAAAGACCTGGTGATCTGCTCCTGTAAAGATTACAGCCTTGGAATCCCTATGGGGCAGTTCCACTCTGTCCAGTAGAGTCGCTATGAGTCAGAATTGACTCAATGGCAATGGGTTAGTATATTGGTATACATCAATGCATATGAACAAGCTTCATACAACATGGGTGAATCTCATAAATATAACGCTGAGTGAAAGACTTAAGACATGAAAGAATATACTTTTTTATTGTAAGTAAATTGACTTTAAAAAAAAATTTTTTGTATTGTACTTTAGATGAAGGTTTACAGAACAAATAGTTTCTCATTAAACAGTTAGTACACATACTGTTTTATGACAACAGTTAACAACCCCACAACATGTCAACACTATCCCTTCTCAACCTTGGGTTCCCTATTACCAGCTTTCCTGTCCTCTCCTGCCTTCTAGTCCTTGTCCCTGGGCTGTTGTGCCCCATTAGTCTCATTTTGTTTTATGGACCTGTCTAATCTTGGGCTGAAGGGTGAACCTCGGGAGTGACTTCATTACTGAGCTAAAAGGGTGTCCGACGACCATACTCTTAGGGTTTCTCCAGTCTCTGTCAGGCCAGTAAGTCTGGTCTTTTTCTGTCAGTTAGAACTTTTTTCTACATTTTTCTCCAGCTCTGTTCAGGACCCTTTCCCTTGTATTTCATTTTCTTCATTCTCCCTTGCTCCCAAAGGCGTGAGACCTGTGGAGTATCTTAGAAGGCTACTTACAGGCTTTTAAGACCCCAGATGCCACTCACCAAGGTAGAATGTAGAACATTTTGGAAGAATACACATTTTAACATTTTTTAATTCACATAGAATTTGAAAAAACAAGCAAAGCTATATTATCTAGGGGTGGATAAACAAGGAAATTATTTTCAGAAAAGTCAGGTTACTGGTTAACTCTGTCAGAGAGGGAGGGTTTATTTCAGAGAGAGGAACATGGCAAGGTTACTTCTGGGGTGCTGGAAATGTGCCGCTTCTTAGCTTGAGTGGTGGTTACAAGGGTGTGTGCTTTATTAGTATCCAAATATGAATATATGCCTTATCCACTGGTCTGTGTATATGCTATGTTTCACAATACAAGAAGGAAAATGGATGATACTATGTAGGTACACCCCAAGAATGTGTTTCTGAGATTATGCTGTTGGTTTGTTTTTACTGTCCTTTTATTCTCTTTTACAAATAATTCTTAGTGAAAGTCAAATATTATCTACAGTTTCCAGGCACCAACCAAAGTTAGGATTTCTTTTATTTGTTTAAGCCCCGCAGAACCCCTAAGCTGACCTGGCTCACTTTTTGTTAGGATTTTACTAACAACTCAAAGCCGAGCTGTATGGACACTAGTAGGTGGCAGTTTCAGATGTGTTTTGACACTCCCCTCCCTTTTTAAAGTTATTTAAATATTTTGACCTCTTTTGTTACTCTATTTGTGGCAGCAGTGATGGGTCATGGTGACATATGGTCATTATTCCGTTACTTCACTTATGACAGGGTCAACGGTCAAGTCCTTTTATATTTGCTAATACAGATATTAAACACCATGCAAACAATTTCTGGACAAGAGGAAGTTTGACGTCTTTTGCAAACATTATGTTTTTTCTACAATATCTATGATTTTCATGGTGCTACCTTTTTCAGAATACTCTTCTCTGCAAAAGAGTGAGGAAAAAAAATACTCAAATACCTAGAATTTGTGTTTCACTGAGGGCTTGCCAGAGGGATAGTTTATGTATATCTGTGTAAGTACACACACATACATTCATTCTCCTTCTCACACACATATACTTACACATACACACCCACATCTCCTTCTCACACACATATACTTACACATACACACCCACGTACTCTTCCCCCACACACTCACGTACATATACGAACACTCTAATTTGCACATATACACACTGATATCCACATACACACACACAAACACATGAACCCACTGGCACTCCTACACACAGGAAGTTTGCATCTCATGTAAAAGATGTATCCCTTTATACTTGATGTAGTTTAAAACTTGCATAATAAATGGTTTGTCCTGACAAAGGCTGGCTAGGATTTCTATTTTCCAGCAGAAAGGGTATCACTGTGGGGACAATAGCATAAACAGTTGTTTGCAAATTGCTCAGTATGCCAACTTTGAAATTAAGTGATTTTGGGCAAATATTTAAATTATGGGAAATTTACATTATTCCACATCTTGCGCATTAAGTGTGCTTTATTAATATTTAAATCACTGTTTTAAATTTGCCTAATTCAAATTGAAGAAATGCAACTGTTCTGTCATTGTATTTGCAAGGCAAAGCACCAATACTACTAATAGGGATTGTGTTTGGGTGGTGGGACTGTTGGTAGGTGCTATCGAGGTGGTTCCTATCCATAGCAACCCTGTGTACAACTAAACAAAACACTGCCCAGTCCTGTGCCATCCTCACAATTGTTGCTGTTTGAGCCCATTGTTGGAGCCACTGTGTCAGTCCATCTTGTTGAGGGTCTTCCTCTCTTTTGCTGACCCTCTACCAAGTATGATGTCCTTCTCCAGGGACTGGTCCTTGGTAGGACTAGAGATGATTTTTTTTCTTTGAAATTTTCTAAATTATTTATAGAGTACATGTACTACTTTTATAATAATTAAAAGATATTATTAAAAGTTAGCTAGGCTAGTTGATAAAAAGATAAAAACATAATTCAAGAGAAGCCCAACCAGGGTATCCAACATATGATAATGTTGGATACACACACACACACACACACACACACAAACACACATTGGACATACGATAATGTGAGAAATACACACACATGCAAGTCAATGTTATTGTGTTGTTACCTGCTGTCAGGTGGGCCCCTGACTCATGGTAGCTCCATGCACAACAGAATGAAATGCTGCCCAGTCCTGCACCATCCCCATGATTGGTTGCTGATCAGAATGTTGTGATCCACAGAGTTTTCATTGGCTGATTTTTGGAAGTAGATCGCCAGGCCTTTCTTCCTAGCCTGTCTTAGTCTAGAAGCTCTGCTGAAACCTGTTCAGCATCATAGCAACAACGCACAAGCCACCACTGACTGATGGGTGGTGGGTGCATATAAGGTGCACTGGCTGGGAATTGAATCTAGCTCTCCCAAATGGAAGGAGAGAGTTCTGCTACTGAACCACCAATGCCTCACACAAGTCAATAGGTTGTGATATTTGGTTTTAATGATAACTTTATAGACATTGACATCATAGTAGAATCAAGGGATTGAGTTATTGGTGGGTGAGTTTTATTGATCTTACTTCTATTGACCATTTTAAAGAACTGGAACCTGCTTCCAAATTGGATTTTTTAGACATAAAATTGTACGCATACACTCATTCTTAAAACTTTATTTCATTTTCACATTGCTCTGCCTTTAGAACTATAAGGAAGACCTTTAATTAGCTTTGATCCTTAAGTCTTTGCAATTATACAAAATAACAAAGGTTTAAATAATATAAGTATGAACTCTTTAGGAACCATTATTCTGAATATACTGGATTTGATTTTATTAAACAAAATACAGCATTATGTATTTTTCTTAACCAAGAAATGTTTTATAGTGCAGTAATTCTGTCAGTTATTAGTCATAGAAACACAGCCAGAGATAGAGCTTTTTATTCATGCTATAACAGTCTTTATCAGACTTGTAAGTTCTTATGCTTAATAAAACAACTGCGGTTTTATAGTGGTAAAAATGCTAAAGATTGGTCTAATTTATTGTAATTACCAGTAGAATGTTTCCTATAAAATGTAATCTTAACTAGAAAGCATTGTTTTAAAAATTACAATTTGAGACGTCTTTAAGAATAGCAAATTTGTATTTTAAATTCTATTTTATTTTACTTAGGTTGCTTCCAGCTGTAATTGATCAGAAATCATTTATTTTCCCTCTGGAATCTGGGGGTAGACTTTGGCGGCCCCAAAAACAGCACAGTTCAATTCCACATACCTTTCCAAGAGTAAAGGTAAGAATACAGGTATCCATAAGGACAGAAAATGGATTTTGGGTACCTGGGCCTAGGAAGAGGGGGTAATGAGGATAACTGCTAATTGTTATCAGGTTTCTTTTTGGGATGATGAAAATGTTCCAACATTAGGTAGTAGTAATGACGGTTACACAGCTCTGTGAATGTACTAAAAACCCCTGAATAGTATAATTTAAAAGGGTGAATTTTATGGTATGTGAATTATATCGCAATAAAGCTGTTATCAAAATTTTTTCTTAAGGAGTAAAGGTAGGAAATTTGTTGTTTCTTGTTTCTAAATTAGAAAATGTGTAAAGATAGATAGATCTGTTTCTATAATACCAGGTAATTGTTGTGTCAGAGATGCTCATGGCATGGCCAGCATGACAAAGAGCTTTCTTCAGAAAGCAAAATAAAACAGAACATAATGCCTTCAAATTTTTTAACAGAGCCCTAGAAGGGAAGTTTCCAGGTGGCAAGGAGTAGCGCTCAAAAGTTTTCTAACTTCGCCTCCACTGGGAGTTCTCTCAATTTGAGTCCTGTTCCTTCCCTGATTCCCCGATGGTAATAAATAGCTCACCTCTTTTGTGTACCAGGTACTGCTCTCAGTTCCTTAGGGATACTAATTTATTTAACCTCAGAAAAGGAGCCCTGGTGGTGTGGTGGTTAAAGCACTTGACTGCTAACAGAAAGGTTGGCAGTTCAAAACTACCAGTGGCTCCGAGGGAGAAAGATGTGGCAGTCTACTTCCATAGAGCTTTACAGCCTTGGAAGATTTATAGTCTTCATTTTATTGCTGAAGACACTGAGATACGTGGATGTTAAATGAGTTGCCCAAGAGAACCCAGCCAGCAAGTGCGAGAGTCGGGGCTATGAACCCAGAATGTAGGAGTCCAGAGCTGTGGTCTTTACCACTCTGCTGCTCCTTTGTTTACAATAGCATTATTGAGATATAATTTACATATCATAAAATTCACCATTTTAAAATGTCCAATTCAGTGGTTTTTAGTATATTCATAGAGTTGAGTATCCATCTTGTGGTGCCTTTTTTTTTTTTTTTAATATTTATTTATTTATTTATTTTTAACTTGTACTTCAGGTGAAGGCTTACAGCTCACCCTTCACTTGTGGTGCCTTTTTTGTATTTGTCATTAGACCTGTTTGTATTTCTATTTTTCCTTCATCACGCTTACCACAGTTTTGTAATCAGATATTTAGTGGTGTTGCTATTTTTTTTAATGTCTGTCTTCCCACTAGATTGTAAGCTCGATGAGGGTGGGATCCATGTCAATTTGTTCATTGCCATGTAATGCCAGGGGACCCTCAATAAATGTTTGCTGAATGAGTAAATGAAGCCACCACAGTGACCTCTGAGAGTGTACTCATCCCCACGTGAAATATCAGTCCAGATGCCTCTGCACTCCCAAAGCAGCTTGCTCCTATCTCTGTCATTACACATGTTGAATTGGGTTCATTCATCCACTCTCTGTGGAGAACTTCACTGTGTGCTAAGGACTGTTAGAGGCAAGCTGGGATGAACAAGACTAATTGCTGTCATAGAGCTGACATTCTAGTGGGGGAGACAGGAATTTAAGAATACACTAGATAATAATGAAGGCTCTGATGAAAATAAAACATAGTGCTGTGATAAAGGGGGATTAAATGTCCCATCTTCCTTACTATTAACTAGTTACTCAGGTTAAAATTTTTTATTTTTGCCAAGAATCTCAGGAGGGCCACAGCTGGTCCACAAGTGGAAGGTTGGAGGTTTCTGGTTTATCAAGACAATGAAATAAAATACCTGTAATTAGGACTATTGTGGAATGTATAGTTGATATTATTGTTCCAGAAAAAAAGTAAAACTATGGCCAGAAATTTATTTACTCCAAAGAGTTTTGATTCCTGGCAGATGATCATAAAGATAAGGAATCTTAGGTGCTGAGTATAACCTCGAGTTCTTTAACTGTGAGCATGGGCAAGCTTCCTTTAGAAAGGGGCATGGAGTGTTTCCCACCCTGACTCTACCTCCGGGGCCTGAATCCCTATTGTTGTTTTACTTCTAATATCAGTGACATCTGCTTAAAAATACATATCCGCTGCCACAAGAGATAGCCCTAATTTTGCATTGTAAAGTCAATGACAAACAGTGCTGTTTTGCCAGCTGTTCCGCATGCCTAGTACACCAACATAAAAGCTTGTAATATTAAGTAGACGTGAGATCCAACTGGGATATTGCCACCTTTAATTGCCCACTTCCAACCTTTTAAACTAGGTAAACCCCAGTTGCTTCTTTAAACTCTCTTTCCCCGAAAGTGGATGGCTGCTTTTGGAATTCCATTTCACACCAAAAAGCTTAAATGACAAACAATTAGGAGGTGCTCAATTATAATTAAGAATCATAATTAAGAATTGTTGATTAAGCTTCTTTTACATTTGAAAAAGCACATTCATAAACATTTATAATTTAAAATAGAAAGTTTCCACTAGTCTTTTTCTTTTTGAGGGTTTCCTTTAAAAAAAAAAAATTAGTGGTGAACTATTGGTAGATAGAATTGGAATGTAAAGTCTTAGCCGTATTCTTTTTTTTCAATTGTACTTTAGATGAGGATTTACAGAATAGTTTCTTATTAAACAATTAGTACACATATTGTTTTATGATATTGATTAACAACCCCACGACATGTCAACACTCTCCCTTCTCAACCTTGGGTGCCCTATTACCAGCTTTCCTGTCCTCTCCTGCCTTCTAGTCCTTGTCCCTGGACTATTGTGCCCCATTAGTCTTGTTTTGTTTTATGGGGCTGTCTAATCTTTGGCTGAAGGGTGAACCTCGGGAGTGACTTCATTACTGAGCTAAAAGGGTGCCCGGGGGCCATACTCTCGGGGTTTCTCCAGTCTCTGTCAGGCCAGTAAGTCTGGTCTTTTTGTGTGAGTTAGAATTTTGTTCCACATTTTTCTCCAGCTCTGTCCAGGACACTCTGTTGTGATCCCTGTCAGAACAGTCAGTGGTGGTAGCCAGGCACCATCTAGTTGTGCTGGACTCAGTCTGGTGGAGGCCGTGGTAGTTGTGGTCCGTTAGTCCTTTGGACTAATCTCTCCCTTGTATCTTGTTTTCTTCATTCTCCCTTGCTCCCGAAGGGATGAGACCAGTGGAGTATCTTAGATGGCTGCTCACAGGCTTTTAAGACCCCAGACGCTACTCACCAAGGTAGAATGTAGAACATTTTCTTTATAAACTGTGTTATGCCAGTTGAGCTAGATGTTCCCTGAGACCATGGGCCCCACAGCCCTCTGCCCAGCAATTTGGTCCCTCAGGGAGTTTGGGTGTGTCTATGGAGGGGCCATGACCTTTCCTTGTACAAGTTGTGCTGGCTTCCCCAGTACTGTGTACTGTCTTATCCTTCACAAAAGTTACCAAGGTCTTACATATTCTTTTTGTGTTGTTGTTAGGTGCTGTCGGGTCAGTTTCGACACAGTGACCCCGTGTTGACAAAGTAGAACTGCCCCATAGGGTTTTCTAGGCTGTAATCTTTATGAGAGCGGATCACCAGGTCTTTCTCTTATGGAGCCCTAGGTAGGTTCAAACTTTTGGTTAGCAGCCGAGAGCTTAACCATTGCACCACCAGGGCTTATAATATGAAGATGTAAAAGGCTAAGCTAATCATTTTAACCCATCCACTACCAACTGTGTAGTCCCATGAGATAGCCAATGTTAACATCCTAGTTTGTGTTCCTCCATGTATTTCTCATTGTTCATAATATATATACAGTCTGAGCACATATGCAGATATATAGGATTCGGGTTGGTTATGAATTTTTTTTCTTTTTACGGAAACAGATTTCATCGCAACTAAGTCATCAGCCAATCCAGTGAGGAGCCCTGGAGCTGGAATGGCCCTTAGAGTTGTCTCAAACTGAGACAAATTTGTATCAACCAGTCATGAGATGTGGCTGCCCCTGGGGAGGAGAGTAATCTTGGACTGGGCGGTTCCCTTTGGCACAGTGCAGATTGCAGGGAGCGATTCAGCTGTGAGCCAGCAGTAGCTAGCATTCCTAGCAGTTGGGGGAATGTGTGCTTCGGTCTTGAACGAAAGATCTGGGCAGCACATTACGTATCCACGGCACCACCCATTGGTGTCACAAGGATTGGTGTCACCCAGTGCGGTAACTCATGGACGCATCCACTACACCACCCATTGGTCCCTAGGGTTGGTGTCACCCAGTGCAGTAACTCATGGACGCATCCACTGCACCACCCATTGGTGTCCCTAGGGTTGGTGTCACCCAGTGTGGTAACTCATGGACACATCCACTACACCACCCATTGGAGTCCCTAGGGTTGGTGTCACCCAGTGTGGTAACTCATGGACACATCCACTGCACCACCCATTGGAGTCCCTAGTGTTGGTGTCACCCAGTGCAGTAACTCATGGACGCATCCACTGCACCACCAACTGGAGTCCCTAGGGTTGGTGTCATCTAGTGCAGTAACTCATGGTGTCACTCCCCTCCCCCAGGCCTCCTCCCGTTCCACACTATGCAGAATCCTTAGTAATGTTTTTTGTACTAATGTTCCTCGTAAATCATAATTCCCGTATATTACTCCTTCTTTTCCTTTAATTACTACCTCATTCTCAAAAAAGTTACAGGTTCACAAGTAGTAATTACCACGATTGTAGCTAAAACGCCAGAAAATTTGACAAAATCAAAACCAAACTCACTGCCGTGGAGTCAATTCCGACTTACAGCAACTCTGTAGGGCAGAGTAGAACTGCTCCATAGGGTTTCCAAAGCTGTAAATCTTTATGAAAGCAGACTGCCACATCATTCTCCCATGGAGTATCTGGTGGGTTTGAACCATAGACCTTTTAGTTAGCAGCTGAGCACTTAACCATTGCACCACCAGGGCTCCTTTGACAAAATCAGTGACTATAAAAACACTGGCAGCAGCAAAAACAACTGTGCATGCTTGTAGCACATCCAGATGAAACCACATGATT